TTACCTGATACTGTTTTTACTTGAATGCTTTGTTTGATGACTAGCAGAAGAGTCTCTGAAAGCGAGTCATCACTTAATAAACGATAACTGTAATTGACAACCACAGCGGGCTCAAGCGCACCTATACAACATGGTGCTTCTGCGTCTAAAGTCAATCTTTTCTCGAATGACGAAATTTTGAAGGTTTTTAGCCTGAAATTGTCGGATTCAGTCTTTGTTGATTAAACACGAAAATTTTTTCTATCCAATCGAGTTGTAGGAGGTTACCACATTTAAGGAAAGTTATGTACCTCGCAAAAACTTCACTTTGTCATTTGACGGAACATAATTTTAATCACCTTCTTTTTAAGTTTACATGCTTGTGCAAATGTTATGCGCGTCGAATTGCAGCTTGCAGCCTAAGGAGTTTTGACTATCGTTAGTGAGTGAGAATTGACAGCTTTTAAATGGTGCAGATTTTGCTTGCTTTCTTTCTCCAAATATCGTGAGCTCTCAAGCGTTTTGAAGCAAGAAGAAGAAATATCAGCCACGTGCCAGTTCAGTTTCATGTGTGACCAGCAAAGCGCTTGCCCTATTTTTTGATTTACAGATCACAACTATAGTCTGTTTTATGTAAGTTTTATACATAACGAAAGTCCTTATTTTGCTTTTTATCGCGCATAAATGAAAGAGGAGGTGCATAGAATAATGAGCGTAACTATAATGAATCGGTCATAGTTGGTAGCTGGAGTAGACAGGGGAAAGCTCCTTAGGTCTCACCATCAAAATGTTACTTTCTATTTTATCATTTTTGTTGCTCATTTGAACTAATTTTTTGCGACGCATTAAGTTTTCAACTATGCTTATAAAATAGTTTGCAAGCATCACTATGTCTCCATACACACGAAAGTTGACCTCATTCGAGCGTATGCAAGTTATCTCTTTTCTAGCTCCCTGGTCTCTCCGAGATAGTACTTATTGGTTCATATTCGTCAGACCTTTTCACAGATTTTATTGGAAGATGTCAACAAACTTATCGCATCTCTATCAAATATGCTCAAGAACAACAGCCAATGGGTAGGTTAATTCCTTCAAATGCGGCAGAATTTGTTGCCTAGTACAAGAATTTCAATGCTTAGTTTTTTGGTCCGTCCTTGTAAGAACAAAATGTCCTTGGAATTAATAGAATCCGATAATGTTACTAATTCTATATTTAATTTAGGCACTGCCGGCGGTTTGGTAGCTCACAGAGAACTAATTCTTAGAGATTCACCTGAAGCACTATTTGTTATCAACGGTGATGTATGCGGTGATCTACCTGTAGATGAAATGGTCGAAAGAATCGCCGCTTTGCCAGACGACAGTTGTTTACTTCTCACAACCGAGGCGACTCGAGAACAGAGCGGTAATTTTGGAAATGTATGTTTTCTGCAAGTTTTTGTCTTTTTACCGGACCCAATCATTGTATGTCTTTGAATATACACTTTCAGGTAGTTATTGATAATACTGGACGCATTGTTCATTATGTGGACAAACCAACAACGTTTGTTTCTACGCACATTTCTTGTGGAGTTTATTTGATGAAAACCAGCGTAATACAGGTACACGGCCCCATCATTTTTCACTCAATCCTATTTACTTTTTTTTAAACGAAATTGTTTGCTTCACCTACTGTATATTATGAAAGTTTGCATGTTTAGGGACTGCAACTAGATACGTCCAAAAATCTATGGTTTGAAACTGACTTATTCCCCAGAATGGCGTCTAATGGTAAATTATTTGCGTTACACACAACTCGTTGGTGGAGTCAAACGAAAACAGCAGCGTGAGTATTGTGCATTTCTTTCTTTAAATTTCATTTCTTCTACCAACTTTAAGTTAAAATACCTTCGAATGGCTTTTTTTCTTGTAAAATTGCT